AGAGGCGGGCAGGGCTCGGGGAGAGGGGGCAGCGGGCGGGGAGAGGCGGGCAGGGCGGCGGAGAGGCGCGCGGCGCCGGAGAGGCGGGCAGGGCCGGGGAGAGGCGGCAGGGCGCGGGGAGAGCGGGCAGGCCGGGGAGAGGCGGCAGGGCGGGAGGCGGGCAGGGCGCGCGGAGAGCGGCAGCGCGGGGAGAGGCGGGCAGCGCCGGGGAGAGCGGGCAGCGGGGCGGGGAGAGGCGGCAGCGGCGCGGGGAGAGGCGGGCAGGGCGCGCGGGGAGAGGCGGGCAGGGCGCGCCGAAGCCGAGGCCGGCTTGCCGGTGCCCTGTCCAGGGAGGTTGGTGTGGAGCCCCCACCCCAGGCTGTGACAGACACAGTTGGGCGGGAACCTGAGAGAGGGACTCTGAGAAGAGATGACCCAGAGAGGGTGAGACGACAGTGACAGTGCGGTGGCCAGACCCCAGAGCGCGCCTGGAGAGCCCGCAGGGCGCAGGGCGAGGGCTACAGCTGCACGACCCAATGAAAGCTGCTGTCCCCTAGTCCTGTCCCCTGCCTTCCCTCCAACCCCAGAAGGGTTGGGAGCAGCAGAGGGAAGAAAATGCAAAAGGGGCAAACAGCCAACCTTCCGAAACAGGCACCGCAAGTCCCGCCTGGGGTGGAGGGAGGGAATAACTCTTGAATGGATACAAAATTAATTTTTACCTCAGCTTACTGAACTTTTTCGTCCCTGAGATGAAATCTTAATGACCAGAATGCAGCTGTTCCTTAAAACTGAGTGACTAAAGAGCTGTCTGTTCTACCCAGGGAGTAAAAAGGGCACCCAAAAGTTGGACATTTGGTGGCAGGAGTTGAAAAAAATATAAAGCCATTTTATGGTATACACCAAATAATTCGACTAGTCTTCTGCATTGTTTATTCATTTGTTTTCTGTCTTCTTTAAAAAAACACAATTCACTTTTTTCACTTTACTTCTCTGAATCACATAGTTTTATGGTTACTATTTTTAAAATCATGTAACTTTTTAATCCAACTGGAATTTATTTTGCCGTGCTGTGGGGCAGGAGAGGCCACTACTTTTACCCAGAAGTTAGGAGTGCCAGCGACAGCCCCTGGTGGTCCCTGCACGCCTACCTGGGAGGGTTCGGAGGAAACCTGCGGCCATTTCTCCGGAAGCTTGCCGGGCTCCGCTGGGTCCAAGTCAGGCAGGCTGCTGCTCAGGCCCTGGGAGGGAGGATAAAGGACAGTGCGCTGCGTCACCTGGGAGACGCGTCCAGTGCAGAGAGAATCTGTCCCCAGAGCTGAGAGAACGCGGGCCGAAACTACATCGGCAGGACCTCAGTGTCTGCGCCTCGCGGCCTTGCGCCACGCAGTCTGAGCAACAGTGGGACACTCACTCCCTAGGTGGTCAGGGCTGAGGGCCAAGGCGTAGGAGGGATTTGCTGACATGTCTTGGAGGCTCCGAGGCGGCTTCCATCATTTTCCTGTTTCCCCATCACTCCATCACTCTGCACGGCAGGTACTCACCACGGCCTCCACCGCACCTGTACCACCTCCACCTCCTCCTCCTCCTCCTCCTGGGTGGAGGTGGAGGAGAGGTGGAGTGGAGGAGTGGAGTGGAGGTGCAGGTGAGGTGGAGGTGCAGTGGGTGAGAGTGGGAGGAGAGAAGAGCAGGAGAGGAGGTGGAGGAGGAGGAGTGGAGAGAGGAGGAGGTGGAGG